GTCGTGGACTTAACAAGAGTTTGTTTAATGACCAATCAAAGTTACAATGGCACTGAAAAAAAAAATGACTTACGGCAGTTTTTCACATTCATGGCCATTGCAGCCATCTCCATGGTCACACGATCAAAATTCGGACGCTTGGCAACTCGCTGATATTTATGATGGCTTCAGTGTCCTGGGATCACACGATCCCTTTTTTGACTTTTTGAGAAACAAAGTCAACGGGGAAGCCAAATTTACGTAGCAACTGTGTTACTACTAAACTGCAGTGATTCACTTAACTATGGCAAGAAAGGTCGTAAAATGGGGCAAAGCTCACTTAACAACTGTCTCACTTAGCTACAAAAAATTTTGGGCTCATTTCTTGTTGTACGTTGAGAATTACCTGTACCTCTTAAATTTTAACAGTGTCCTAATAGCAGAGAAGAGCTGGAAAAAATCCGCAAACCTTGGATAATACTTTCAAAAATTGGGACGTTGGCCACCAAAACTTTGAAAACAAGATGTCTATCCTTGCTCCCAATCTTCCGATTTTAACTTTTTTTTTTCTTTGCAGTTACGGGTCATTCTCAATTTACGACTGCAGTTGGATTTCTGTTACTAAGCAAGTCGTTCGTCGATCCTCCTCTCATCCCTCGGGTGACTGTGCTGGGACGGATCCTTTTTCTCGAACAAAAAAGATTCATGCTACATCATGCCTGCTACAATGCTGAGTTTTGCCTGCTTTTCGTTCTGTTTAAATAAAGGGTTGGAGGATGGGATTAAGATGGCAACCGAGCGAGTTCCTGGCTTGTCGGACAATTGCAGGTGGTAGCACCTCATGTTTATTTAAGCTGTCATTTTAAACCGCCGAGATTTTGCCTTTCGTAGGTAAATACGTTTGTAGGCATGCATGCGCAAGCAGCACTTGGGAGCTGAAAAATATGCGTTTACATTAGCAAAAAGGCTGACGATTTCGTTAATGAACAAGCCCGCTACAAATTCAATTTGCACAGGATTCATCTCTCTTCCAAATCTCCTACTGCGAAATATGTCATCAGGTTATTATACTACTGCTGCTGGAAGTAGATTTCGGTGCTATTCCCTGGTCAATTACTGTGTTATAATATCCCAAACCTGCTTGCTTATAAGTACATTCCGCCATTCCATGAGACTTAAAAGTTGTGTCCTCATGACCTGCTTACCCTGTTTAATTAATCAACCCATTTCTGGTTTTGGTACCATATGTTGAAAGATAAACTAACTCAGTGATCTGGGTTTGTACAAAACCACTATAACCCCTCCACAAAACCCTTCAGTATACTGTGTGAAAGTAGCTGCTTAGGTTTGCAACAGGTTGGCTTAAGTGTGTTCTGCGAACATGGCTATCCTAGGAACTGTGGTGGTTAGAATGCAGTATTGCAGGCTAACTCTGCCCACAATTGGGAGTTCGATTCCTCACCTGTAAAGGTTGACTTCCAAGATTGGTAAAATGAGGACCCAGATTGTTGCGGGCAATATGCTGACATTCTAAACTGCTTAGAGAGCGGAGTAAAGCACTATGAAATGGTATATAAGTCTAAGTGCTGTTGCTATCCTCTATTAGTAAACTGGAGTACCCAATGGCACTCCGCAGATTGTCAGCCTACGTATCTAGTATTCTCTAACCCTTGATTCATCACTGTAAGCTGGGAAGATTTCCAAAAAGTACCACAATTGGCTAATCTAACCTTCTCTGAATATCTTGCAAATACAATCTCCAAGAGTTTTAGATACTACAGTCCATATAGCTAGGAATTCTGGGAGTTGTGGTCAAATTGCCTCTGAAAATTATGGCGTGTTTTTTTCTAGAATGGATTCAGAAATTAGGACTTTTTCAGTATCATAAGAACCAGTGGCTGACTGGTTAAAGCAAACTATGGTTTAATGTGATGCGCGAATCCAGCAAATGAGAAGGGGCCCTGTTCTCAGTCAAAATGGAGACTTGTTCGTTCTCGTTTAGCTGCAACATTCAAACAAAGGGGTGCACTATAAAGATGGCACACTTTTTTCGTTACCCGAATGCGACATCTGATCTAATTCAGCATAAGGAAGTTGAGTATAATTACAGAAGGCAAGTGAAAATTTGGGGGTGTTGGAATTTATGTGTGTTTGGTTTTGCCTCACATAAAGGCAAACCCCTTTATTCTTAAAGCTGTCCAGGAACACAGCAGGAACCTCACTGTGCCACCCCAAATCTCTGCAGTTTTCAACCATTCAAACCAACAAGGAGAACACTTGGTCCACCCGCTGCCATCGGTGAATTTAATTAAAATTAATCCGCATGCTTTCCCACCCCCCCCCAAAGCTTGGCTAGCTGGTGACCCTCAATGCATCATGAGTCAGTGAGTTCCACAGACTAACCCAATGGCTTCTTCCATGACCCTTGCATTGTTATTCTGGTGAGAAGCTACCGCCAAGAGGATAGTGTCACGTTTCCCGCAACACAGTAAGCTTCAGGCAGTTGTGCCTTGGGAACTCCTTCCATGTCTTGTACACAAACTGTTCGCTGCTGCTAAAATGCTGCATGAGGAAAGGTTTGTTTATAGAATAGAATAGAATTCTTTATTGGCCAAGTGTGAATTGGACACACAAGGAATTTGTCTTTGGTGCATATGCTCTCAGTGTACATAAAAGAAAAGATATATTCGTCAAGAATCATAAGGTACAACACTTAATAATATTCATAGGGTTATATAGCCATAGGGTATATAGTATATAGTCATAGGGTACAATAAGCAATCAAATCATACTAGGAGACAATATAAATCGTAAGGATACAAGCAACAAAATTACAGTCATACAGTCAAGTGGGAGGAGATGGGTGAAAGGAAGGATGGGAGGATTAATAGTAATAGTAATGCAGATTTAGTAAATAGTTGGACAATGTCAAGGGAATTATTTATTTAGCAGAGTGATGGCGTTCGGGGAAAAACTCCTTGTGTCTAGTTCTGGTGTGCAGGGCTCTATAGCGTCGTTTTGAGGGTAGGAGTTGAAACCATTTATGTCCAGGATGTGAGGGGTCTGTAAATATTTTCACAGCCCTCTTTTTGACTCGTGCAGTATACAGGTCCTCTATGGAAGGACTTGATCATCCTGGCTTGAGGCTTGCTTTACCAGCCAGCGTTAAGACGTCTTGGTGGCTTACGAATTGTAGCTTATTGGGTTTTATACCGTAAAGCAGGTTAGCATAGCAGCTGATCAGGGATCAAGTCCTGACAAGCCGTGAAATACTTCGCTTAGCCTGTCACGCTAACGAAGATGCCAAGCAACGGTTCAGGAAACGCATGGGAACACTTTTTCGATCACCGTAAGCCGGGCTACCATGTTTAAGGATCTTTGGATTGAAGGTGCCTCTGCACTAGTGGCGGATTGATCAATAGGAGATATGAACTCAGTTCCCCTAGATCGAAATGCAACAAGAGGCTCGGGCTGTATACGCGGTATGTGTGTGCGCTCATCGTTGTCCCGCACTGCCTATCTCCATGGGGACCTTTCTCTCTTCTCCAGGCCTTGGGGCTGCACCCCAGTCTCAAGGGGGTAATTACAAAGATGTTTGTTTTCGATTGCCTCATTTAGACACAAGTGACTTTTGTGCCGTACCGAAGCTGCCTTGTTCGTGAGTGTGCCTATCTGCATATGTAGGGGTGTGTGTGGGTGTGTGTGTGTTTGCATGTAACTGACTGATGCAACAATTCAACATTCGGGGAAGTATTGTTCCCTTCTTAATTAGAGGGAGCCGTGTCTTCTAATGCAGTGTTTCTCAGCCTTGGTGACTTTAAACTGGGTGGACTTCAACTCCCAGAATTCCCCAGCCAGCGTAGTCCTCGACTTACCACTGATTCATTTAGTGACCAGTCCAAGTTACAACAGCACTGAGAAAAAGGAATTACGGCTGTTTTTCCACGCATACAACTGTTGAGCATCCCCCCCCCCACGGTCACATCTGAGGTGGGATTCAGCAGGTTCTGACCAGTTCTGGAGAACCGGTAGGGGAAATTTTGAGTAGTTCGGAGAACCGTCCAATACCACCTCTGACTGGCCTTGTCAACCCCATCTATTCTCTGCCTCCCGTTGAGTCCCAGCTGATCGGCTGGGTCTTCTTTGGTTGCCCTGCACAGGAGAACGGAGCTGGAAAGCAGGTTAGTGGGGTGGGGAGGGAATGGGGATTTTGCAGTATCCTTCCCTTGCCACGCCCACCAAGCCACGCCCAACAAGCCACACCATGCCCACCAAGCCATGCCCACAGAACCGGTAGTAAAAAACATTTTGAATCCCACCACTGGGTCACATGATAAAAATTCAGGCGCTTGGCAACCGGCTCGTATTTGTGATGGAGTCACACAATCCCCTTTTGTGACTTTCAGACAGGCAGGTGTCGGGGAGGGAGCCAGGTTCACTTAATAACCATGTCACTAACTTAACAATCGCAGGGATTCACTGACCAACAGTGGCAACAACAACAACAAAAAAAGGTCATTTAACAAATGTCTCCCCGAGCAACGTAAATTTTGGGCTCCGTTGTGATCCTAAGTCAAGGATTCAATGTACTTTGGAAGCGAGGAGCAGAAGAGCCAAACAGGAATGGATCCTCTGAAGCCGTGGATTTTGGGAGGACCGTCTCCTTATTCTGCTCACGATCCTTTATTTCTTCAGCATCCCTTCCAGGTCAAACGAAGGGCCTGGTCCATCCCTGGAGACCGAAGTCTTCGAAACAGCGAGCACTAAAATTAGAAGCCCTGTAACTACGCGTGGAAGCGTGGGCGGCCTTAGTGGCTAGGGAGCGAGCCTAAATTATTCCTAACTTTATTAATTACCGCGTTAGTAACACCTGAGGCAGCCGGGAGCATGCATGCCCAGAAAGACACGCGCATCTGCAGGCACACACACACACACACCTGTAGAAGGGCTCCTTGGGCGAGAGGAAGCGAGGCCTAACAAGCAGGTCTAAAGGGCAGGGACGTATCGGAGGCGCCACTAACCTGCTCTCCAGTCTGCCATGGCTCCATCCCGTTTCGCCTGTGGCAATCGACATCCACAATGCATTCCACAGCCAGGGGGGCTCCAGCTGTGCCAAAAAAAAGCCAACAATCCAATGTTACGCAGTAAAAAAAAAAAAAAAAAAAGGGTGGTGGTGGTTGGGTGAGAAACACAATTTATGTTTAAGGTTTGAAGCTGTCATCTCCTTGCAATGCCCAGTTGAATGAATGACCACTCATAAAACGCCTGAAATAGCTTGAGAGTCACGGCAAGAGGTGCTTTTTCAGGAGGCAAGTGGACTTTCTCTTTTTTTTAAAAGAATAATAAATTTTATTAGTCATATTTTCATCATAAAAACACATTCCCACTCCTTACGGCTTTCCAGTATCGGTGTTCATTCACATTGACATCAGTGGTGGTATTCTACAGGTTCGGCCCAGTTCTGCAGAGCTGGTAGCGGCGATGAGCAGCGAAGACCGAACCCGTTCTCTCCGACACTCTGCTGTTGGGCCCACCTGCCCGCCTGGGTTCCCATATCACCTTGATGTCCTGCTTTTGTAGCGCAGCTGCTTTGCACAGCAATTGCTGAAGCGTCAGGGCGAGTGCAAGATTGCAGGTGGTGACTCAAAACGCCTCTGCGCCTGTGCAAAGTGTGCGTTTGGCACACGCGTGTTGCCAAAGCGTGTGTGCGCACACACCAAGCCACGCCCAACACACCGGTGGGTAAAAATATTTCAAACACACCACTGATTGACCTACTTTCTAATTATGTAGGTTGCTACTATATATTACATAGTTGTTGCTGTATTCAGCATAAACCAAATATTTACAAAATTACAAATAGTATTTATCTCATCTTACCATAGCTCCTACATACCCTTCATCTATCAGTTTTGTGTCTACCTTCCAACCAATAGTATCATAAATTCCAGATCTCGTAGTACTCCGTTTCTTCTCTGTCTTTTAATTCCATCGATAACCTATCCATCTCTGCACATTCTAAAACCTTTTTTATTATTATGTCGGAAGCAGTATTGTCTTGTTTCCAGTTCTGGGCAAAGGCGATTTCTGGCCGCAGTTATTATATGAAGTATTATGTATTGGCATTTTTTACAGATATTATATCTTAATATGCTGTCATCTGCCTCCTTGAGATGCCCACTTGAATGACCACTCATAAAACTCCTGAAATAGCTTGAGAGTCACGACGAAAGGTGCTTTTTCAGGAGGCAACTGGACTTTCTCAATTTTTCTTTAAAGACTTTTCGCTTCTCCTTCAAGAAGCTTCTTCAGTTCTGACGGGATGGTGGGGAATGGAAGGATTTATATTCCTTGCAGAGAGCTGGTAATTTGCATCCTTTTAGGGATCATTGAGGCCTCTTGCAGGTTTATCTGTGTCCGCAGGGTCACCTGAGTAGGGCCAATGTGTGTGGAGCCTTTTTGACTGCAGGATATTTTTCTGCCGTGTGTTCCTTCACTGTTGAAGACAGGTGCAGGCTGTCGGGGATGAGTCTATGCTTCCTGCATCTCGGACTGAAGCGAAAATGGCTCCTGTAATTTGCACTCTTTCTGGAAATCTGTTCATACTCTCGCAACCATTCGAACAGGGTTCATCCCAAAGTGCACGGCTAAATGTCTATGGAGATTCTCAAGTCATCCAGGCCACAGTTCTCCCAATAGTGCTTTTTTTTTTTCCAGGAAGCAACTGCACTTTCTGGTTCCTCTTTGAAGATGTTTTGCCTCTCATCCAAGTCAGAGCTGAAGAAGCTTCTTGGACAAGAGGCAAAACATCTTCAAAGAGAAACAAGAAAACGACCCACAGGGGTAGTCCCAAAGGTGCTTTTTTCTGGAGGCAACTGGACTTTCTGGTTTCTCTTTGAAGATGTTTCACTTCTCATCCAAGAAGCTTCTTCAGCTCTGACAGGACTTCCCCACCATCCTGTCAGAACTGAAGAAGTTTCTTGGATGAGAAGTGAAACATCTTCAAAGAGAAACCAGAAAGTCCGGTTGCCCCCAGAAAAAAGCACCTTTGGACAACCATAACCTGGATGATGGAGAATCTCCATAGGCCACTACAAAAGTACAGGTATTCCTCAACTTACAGCCATTTAGCGAGTATTCTCGAAGTTATAACAGGACTGAAATAGTGATTTACGATCCTCACCAAGACCATCACCGCTTCCCCATGGTCCCAGGATCAAAACTCTGGTACTTAGCCACCAGTATGTACCCTGTTTCCCTGAAGATAAGACCCAAATGGAAAACAAGCCCTAGCATGATTTTTCAGGATGCTTGTAATATAAGCCCTACCCTGAAAATAAGCCCCAGTTAAGATTGTCACCCAAACGGGTGCATTTAGACCAGTATTTCCCTGAAAATAAGACCTAACTGGAAAATAAGACCTAATGCATCTTTTGGAGCAAAAATTAATATAAGACCTAGTATATACACACACACACATACACACACACAAAATACCATTCACGCATCATCACAATGTATATATGTATGTATGTATGTATGTATGTATGTATATGTATGTATGTATGTATATATATATATATATATATATATATATG